TTCCGAATTTTCAAAAAAAAATTGGATTTATTTTTAATTTTTAGTTAAAAAAACATAATTTCTTGATAATATTATGGCAACATGGCAGTAGATTATGTTAGTATATTTTTTTTATCGAGATCTACCACCCTTTAAAATACTTGCACTTATTTCTATGACCACTGTATATTAATCGAACTTTACAAAAATGATCGCCATGAATCACCCTGTATATTTTGCATAGCGTTAAAAAATATATTTTAAAACTATATTACATACAGAAGAATATGATTGACTCAATAAAAAAGTCTAAATAAAAAACATTAATCGAACAACTTTTAATTTTGTTCAAGTAGCTGTGCTCACAATATACTGTTTTTTTTTACTCTTTCTAGATCGGTTATGAGAACCTAATTATTTAAATATTAGCCTAGGATCGAGTTTTTTTCCTTTTAACACAAAACATTCCATTTTTTTTTCAATCTGCATATAGGTACGCTTTTATTTCAATTAAGCTACATTTAAATGTATCGAAGGTTAAAGTCATTTTTTTTTGCTCACTATCCTCAGTCGAGTGACCGCAAAGATCTTGTGCTTCTGCGGTTACTTATAAGACCGACAATAATGATCGCGTTACAGTAGATTTCAGCGTTAGAAAGAATAATATTTAATTTATCTCTTACTGAATTAATATAGGTACCCTATAAGCTTATATCGCCTTGGTTGCGCTACCCATAAAAAATAGCGTCATAACTCCCTTAGAACTTTTATTAACGGGAATTAAGATGCTATAATTTCCTCTATATTACTTTACTTTAATACAATAGAGATTTTGAGTAATAATACAGGGTGTTTCAAAGAACATGTGCCATCTCTCGTGGAGAGATTCTTCACGTAAAAATAAGATTTATTTTTCATATGAACATAGGTCTGATTCTGCTTTGTTTCGTAGCTACAGGGTGTTAAAATCTTAATAATCTTTCGATTTGGTATAATTTTCTTCCAAGTACTTTTAGTGATTCGAATGAGATTTGGAGGGTAAAAGTTACTATAAGTGCTATATATTTGAAGTCAAAAAAGTGTCGATAAATTCATCAGGGAAGTGCAGTATGGGTTATCGCTGGAATATTTGTCAAAAAAAAACATGTGCGCCACTGACTTTTTTTCTTTTGATATCGAAATTGTGTTGGCCGTTTAATGCCTGTTAAAAGTTATCTCTTGATATTTTGTCGACTTCAGCCTGCTTGACGAGATACAACTAACTAAAACGTAAATTTATTAATCACAATAATTAATAAAATTAATAAATTGTATACTTTACCTAATTTATTATTAAATTTTATTACTATTAGTTATTATTACTATTAGCTCAACCTACAGCAATTTCAATTAAAAAAATACTGGTAAGATAATTACATAAAACCTAATTTTAAAAAGTTTTAACATCCTGTAACTCTAAAACTAGGCATTTATATACCCATGTTTATTGGAACTTTTTTCATATTTTTTGAGGAGGAATCAATGAGTATTTATTTAAAACTTTCGTAAGTTAACGATATCAAAATTTTGAAAAGGTTGCTATTAAGACTATGCTCAAGGCAAATTAATAAAATTGCGTTTATCTCATCAAGGAGGTCGAAATCGACAAAATATCAAGAGACAACTTTTAATCGGCATTAAACTGCTTACACTATTTCGCTAACAAGAGAAAAAAAAGTCAGTGGCGTACATGCTTTTTTTAGAAAAATATTCCAGTGAAACCTATATGCGCGTTCCTGGTGAATATGTCGACACTTTTTTAGCTTTAAAATAATATGGCGCATTTATAGGAACTTTTATCCTCAAAATTTCATTCAAAACGCTAAAAGTACTTCGAAAAAACATTAATATTTTAACACAATGTACCTACGAAACAAACCAGAATCGGTCCTATATGTTGATATGAAAAATAAATCGTATTTTTACGTAAGGAATCTCCCCACTAGAGTTGGCACATGTTTTTGGTAACACCCTGTGACCCTGTATAAAATGAAAATGGGGGTACACTCCTCTAACTACTCTAATAAATTATTTACATCATTAATGTCACATACAATAAATTTACAAGGGAACAAGTTTCATCGACGTCCCCTGCTACAATATTTTTCTATCCCAACCACTGAAGGTATTTTTAGCCGACCATACCAACAGGAAGTGGAGAGATCAGCAAGAAGAGATAAACGCTTGTGGACAGAAGAATTTGCAGAAAAAGCTCAAATGGCAGCTGAAATAAATGATTCCAGGACACTTTATCGCACTACTAAAACGCTTGCCAATAAAAACATTAATAGGGAATGCCCCATAGTGAAAGATAAAGAAGGAAATATACTGACCTCAAAAGAGGATCAGCTGCACAGATGGACAGAATTTCTTAGTGAGCCTCAACAGGTAACAAATGATATTGATGAGGTACCAACGTTTCCAACAGAAAACTGCAAATCTAGAATCGCAACACGTGCTCCATCGATTCAAGAAATTAAGCAAGCATTATCACAGCTTAAAACTGGCAAAGCGGCAGGTCCTGATAATATACCCGCTGAACTATTTAAGATACACCCAGAAAACATTGTACAGCTACTAGAGACAATAATAAAAAGCAGTTGGGAAACAGAACATATCCCGTCAACGTGGAAAGAAGGACTTATTGCAAAACTCCCCAAGAAGGGCGACTTATCCCAGTGTAAAAACTGGCGAGGCATTACCTTACTTAACACCATTAACAAGATAATTGCTATAGTCATCCAAAAAAGAATATCAGATGCCCTTGAACCGACTTTGAGAAAAGAACAAGCAGGCTTTAGGCCTGAAAGATCATGTATCGACCAAATTAATACTCTCAGAATAATAATAGAGCAATCTCAAGAGTTCAGATCGCCATTATACATGGCGTTTGTGGATTTTCAAAGAGCATTCGATATATAAAACACATAGCTATCTGGAAAGCTTTGAGAGAAAAAGGAATACCCGAAAAAATAATCCGCATGATTAAAATGCTTTATCATGATGCTACAAGCTGTGTATTACATAAAGGTTAAGTGGGGGAGAAAATTTCTATTGTAGTAGGTGTAAAACAGGGCTGTATACTTTCGCCGCTACTCTTTAACATCGTTCTGGATGGTGCACTAAATAGAGCATTTAAAGAACCACTAGGGATACAATGGGGACTCTTAAGCAGGCTTGAAGACCTGGACTATGCAGACGATCTATGCATCTTTTCCCATTCACATTCGGATATGTCTCCAAAACTTCTTAGACTCCAAGAGGAAGCTAATAATGTCGGTCTTTAAATCAACGTGGCGAAAACCAAAGAAATGAGGTCAAATACTCCCAACAACCAATGTCTATACATCTCCAACTGAGCCATCGAAAGAGTTGATGAATTTCAGTACCTGGGAAGTATGGTTCACAGCGATGGGGGCACAGAGAAAGAATAGAGGAAAGGATTTTGAAGGCACAAAGAGCTTTTGGCATGCTTACACCTGTGTGGAACTCCTCTATATATATAGCAAAAAAACTAAAGTCCAGCTCTTCAATAGCAATGTCAAATCTATTTTGCTTTATGGATGCGAAACATGGAAGGTTACGCGTGGTCTCATGGATCGCCTACAGGTGTTTGTTAACAAGTGTCTTCGAAGAATATTGAGAATTTTCTTGCCCAATCAAATTAACAACGAAGAACTGTTGAGAAGAACATCACAAAATCGAATAGATATCGAAATTAAGAAAAGAAAGTGGGGCTGGATTGGGCACATTTTGCGCAGACCCCACAGAGATATCGCTAGACAGGCACTTGAATGGAATCCACAGGGAAGACGTGCGAGGGGAAGACCAAGGAATACCTGGAGAAGAACAGTAACCTCTGAAGCCCAAGAGGTCGGGAAAACATGGGGAGAGATCAAACAGACAGCTCAGAATAGGATCAGATGGAAACATCTCTTAGAAGCCCTATGTCCCACGAAGGGATGACGGGAACATATATCGGCAAAAAAAAAGTTTTTTTAATTTCACTCAAAATGAGTTATTTGGGTCATAAATGACCTAAATACAAACTATTTTCTGTCTGTCTGTCCGTCTGTCCGTCTGTCTTTTACACGATAACTCAAAAACCGCTAAACCGATTTTAACCAAATTTGGCACAAAAATAATGTGGCACCCGAGAATTAGGCCATTAGTTTTTGGTGGGGGTGGGGGGTTGGTAAGGGGGTATGGGAGGGGGTTAAACATTTTAAAAAATCGTAACTCCAAAATTACAGTAGCTAGCGAAACGCGATTTTCAATTTAAGATTAGGAATAATATTTGCAACAAAATTTGCAATAACATCAAAATCAGTCAAAGTCGCAGTTTTTGAGATAAAAAAATTGAAAAAATTCCTTTACTTTGAGAACGAATTTTTTAAAATGAATTCACTTTTATCAGTGGCTCTGTGGCATTATCTTATAAGTCTCCACTGTCAATTCATGTCCTTGAAGTGGGTGGTACCTATTAAAACAACTGTGTAATAAAAATAGGAATACTTCAACAATTAATGTATCATTAATCTTTTTGTAACTGTTTTCAAGATCAGGTATATCGAGAGATATTGACATTGATCTGGGAGGAAAAAAAAACACTGCCATTTGAATAATTTCACGTTTGTTTTGGCCGTTATGTAAATACGCGTGTGTGGCCTTATGTAATTTATTTTCTATGATAATTAGTTCAATTAGAGGCCTAATTGGATTTATTTACATATAACGTAGTTGAGATATCGAATATGACTTCTTGTTGAAAAATTAGTTCTACTACTAATAATAATTAATTATAGTTTGTTTAACGAGAGGATACATAACAGAGACAGTTAAAACGTCCTTCGAACTTGTGAGATGCCTAGTCGCCATTGATTTTGTTCATTCCAGTCTCCGTCACGCAGATCCCTCGAGCTCATCGCCTTCTTGACACCCTCCATCCAGTTTGTCTTTGGTCTTCCCCGTTTTCTTCACTTTTATGGAAGCCAGTTTAGTTCCTTCTGAGGCAGTCGCGTGTTGTCCATCCTTCTCACATGCCTATACCACTTCAGTTGGGCACTCTCTATTTCCTCTACTATATTTTTCTGTCTACCCATTTTGTCCCTGAATGTCTCGTTTCGTACTCTATCCAGCTTTGATGTTCGTGCTAATCTCCTTATCGCGTCCATTTCTACCGCCAGTAATTTTCTTTTGTTATTCTCTGTTAACCTCCATGTTTTCGCCCCAAATAACAGATTGTTCTTGACTGTCGCATCATTAATCCTTAGTTTTCTGTCATTACCTATTTCGTTACTCCAGAGTATATTATTCAGACACTTTATTGCATTTCTGGCCTTGACTATTCTCGAGCTTATTTCGTTGTCGTCTTTGCCGGATTTATCAAAAGTAACGCCTAGGTATTTGTATTCGTTACATGTTTGTATGTATTCATTATCTAGTTTTATTGCTGTTTGATCCGATCCAGTGCAGAGATATTTAGTTTTTGCGATATTCATCCCCAGTCCCCAAACTTGGTATTCCTCTTTAAGTTTTCGTGTCATATATTCCAAGTCATCTTTGTCTCCTGGACGAATAACTTGGTCGTCAGCGAATTGCAAAGTGTATAAGCAAGTGTCTTCATTTATTGGTATGCCCATGCCTCTACACTTGCTTTTCCAATGCAAAATTGTTTTATCTGTCAAATTTTGGATGTCATATGTCGCAATCTTCCCTGACTCGTTAGACAAACTTTAGTAGTACACAAAAGGCAAGAGATGCAAAGAATCTACCACATTACGGTTGAAAACAGTGAAAACAAGACAATCGTTTGATATTTTTCTGTCTTTTTATGTCGCTTATACATAATACAAGTCGTTTCAATAGAAATTATCATGAACAAGTCCACTCTAACTGTTTAGAAGACGATCTGTCAGTCATATTACAGGCCTTTTATCTAGAGATTTCCCCTGTAGTATTATTTTCAAAAATCTAATAACTTTGAAACCGTACCTACCATATAGTTTTTTGTCAATGGCTTATTATTGTCTATTACAAAAAACGCACATTTGCCAGGCTATCGCATTGACATATAACTGATTCTGTTGTTTCTACTTCTAATTTGCAGATACTGCATATGGATTTGTCTGTCAATCAAAATTATGATCTTTTTAGATAGATCTAAGGCTTACTGGGAAATATCTGATATAGACTTACTGAGAAAACTTATCCATTGTAGATCAAATTTTACAGAGGTTAGTTATCCATCTCCTGTACCAAAGTTTATAGCACAAACAGTTGTCTTCTCAGCGCACTCAGTGATAAAGTGTTCTGGTTTTCGCCATTTTTCCCACAGAATCTGCAGTCATTGTTGTTTCTTAGCATCAATCTATTGCAGTGAGGAGACAGTATCCTGTTAAAAATCCCGTGACAATCCAATGAGAAATTTCTTCTTGTGTCTTAGACTGTTGGAGGATTCCCATTCCAAGTTAGAGAGTTCTTGAGTTCTGATTTAAATTGATCTCCACTTGGGAAGCAAAAAAAAAGATTCGGGCCCAGTGAGTTAGGTAGGCACATTCTTTTCTAGCTAGATTGTTTGCTTTTTCATTACCTTCTAGCCTTTGGTGAGCTGGTACACAGATTAGGAGGACTTTATTATCTTTGCCTAATTTGTCCAGCACCTCTTAGCATTTTTTGCCCAACTTCAATTGATAGTTACTGAGTTGATCGCTTTTAGGTAGCTTGACTATCGGATAAGATAGCTATTCCTTGTTTTCGATAGTTCCTATCTAAGTTAAGTTGTACGCATCTTTCGATAGCGTATATTTCTGCCTGAAAAATACTAGGGTAGGTTCATGCCCAGCTTTTACGGCCTTTGACGTTCTTAAGCCATCTATATAACATCAGGTAGCTTCAACTGAATAACACAAATACTCTAATTTTTATGTAAAACATGAATAAATTTGAATTTCATTACTTAAGGTTTATTCAATATTTTTGGCCTGGTACGTCTAATAAAGAAAAAGTTCAAAGTTCTGCAGTTTTGTCAAACGGTGTTCAAAAGCATCGAACCTTGAAAACGCTTTTAAATATCGTAAATATTTGCACAAGGACGAGGGGGTATTAATTTCTAGTTAGCCTCGTTTAGTACTACAAAACAAAAGGAGTACTGTTAACTATTACCTTAGATACAAAATAGCAAAGGCACCTTGCGATTTTGGCGATGTTTGCGTTGTTTTTGTCTATATAAAGTTACTTCTAAGAAGGTCTTTATTAGAATATTTGATTTTATCTAATGGATTACTATAGAAGCTGGTTTATTTTCTTAATATTCATTTAACTATCCAACAACAGGATGTAGAATGTTTTAGAATTTAGAATTTAGAATAAGTGGGAGGGGGGTTACTCTCTGCGATCTTAGAGATCTATTGTGTCCGCCTTTCTTGAGTTATAACTCATCATACAGATGTCCCAAGGTTGAGGCTGTCCGTAGCCCCGCCCGGTATCGTTATATGTATTGGTGCAATTCCCTCGCCACGACACTACAGTCAGGGACAAGACGATGAGTGAGATGCTTTTAGACCAAGCCAAGTGCTAGGGGGGATTCCCCCCAGCACCTGACCAGGAGCTTCCCCACCAACGACAAGGTCTTGCATCTCCTAGGGGAAGATGTAGAATGTTTAGGACGGGAGTTAATCACCGCGACCTTACAGATCTATTGTGTGTACCCCTTTCTTGAGTTATAACGAGTTATAACTCATCATACAGTCCTAGGGCTTTAACAAAAGCTAGTATCTGAGACGGCTCCGCAGAGGTCGTCTCAGCGCACTCAGTGATAAGGTGTTTTGGTGTCTCTCCATTTTCCCCACAGAATCTGCATTCGCCGTTGTTTCTAAGCTTCAGCCTACTGAGATGTTCGTTGAGAAGACAGTGTCCTGTTAGAAACCCCGTGACAATCCGAAGATTATTTTTACTTAAATCAAGGAAAATCTTTTATTTCTCTCGGTCGGAAGTTTGTCGTCTCTGTCGTAACAACAAGATACATAACAATGAAAGTTGTTCTCTGTCGCTCTAATTCGTCTGTCAAAATCTTTCTTGGCAGGTTGGACCCAGTTATTCCTCCCTGTAGACCCTACCGGGAAATCCCAGTTCTTTTGAAATTTTTGTTCATAAAAAAACGGTATTCGAAATTAATTCCCGGTTCTTTCGTGTCTTGGTAACAATAACTAAAATAGTTATTTGTGTAACAAGTTGCGAAATAAATGTGTTTTAAGCACGGGACGCAAAATTATCGGACAATGCGTGGAGTCCTTAAAACACTCTTTTCGCAACGAATTTCATACAAGATTTTTTGTGAAAGCTGATAATTTGAGATTTTCATGCTATTATTATTATTAATTATTAAGCGTTTTTTAAAATGTTCTGGTAATCGGTTCTTAAGGCATTGTTTCCTCCATTGTTTAATGGCAAAGTTCTGTCAGGTTCAAACGTCGCCGTATTTCCTACAAAGTTTTGTGAAAAAATGAGTGATAATGACGAGCCTTTGGATATTCAACAAGCTGCTGAATCTGCGCTATCCACGTAAGTGCCCGAGAAGTCAAAAAACTTATACGAGACCACCTACAACAACTTTGAAACCTGGGTCGAAGAAAAACATGTTGAGAATTTCACAGAAAAGGCATTGCTAGTCTATTTCCTAAAGTTATCCACTACCTTAAAGCTGTCAACTCTGTGGAGTAAATATTCGATGCTCCGCACCATGATTTACCTGAACAGAAACGTAGATATTAGCAAATTCACAAACCTTATTGCATTTTTAAAAAGAAAAGCTTCTGGATATCAGGCAAAGAAATCAAAAGTATTTACAAAACTGGAAATAGAACGCTTTATGAAAGAAGCCGATGAGAAAGAATTCATGTTAGCTAAAGTTGTCTCAATCGTTTGAGTAGTTGGAGCATGTAGGAGGGAAGAAATCACGTTTTTGACCGTAGATGCCATTAAGATTGTCAGTCATTTATTAATGTGAAGATTCCGAATACAAAAACTCATTTTCCAAGAGTGTTTACGATTACTGAGGGACCAATAGACGGTATCAATTTCTTACGTGTATTTCGTAAGTACGCAAAACTTCGACCACTCAATGTGACACATCGGCGATTTTTCTTGACGTATCGAGAAAATCAATGCTGTACCCTGCCAGTTGGAATCAATACAATTGGAGGTTCGAATCTCAAATAAATATAAAAAAACTGATATAAACTAATCAAACTCTTATAAATTATTGTTCTTACTTCTTTTCTCTTTTGAAGTTACTATAATGTTTTTTATTTTATCAATTATATTATTGAAGTTTAAATGCAATTTTTTCAAAAAAAAAACACCTCCGGTTCCAGTTCTTCTGCGTCGACTTCTGTAATTTATTGCTCTCTCTCCAAGTACATATATAGAAAAAATCAATTAAAATAAATGCTCAACAATTGCCAAGCACACTACAACAATTAATTAATTAACAATAAACTAATTGAATAAATCATATCCGCGAAAAGCAATTAGCTACAAATCAATTAAATAAATCATACCAAAATAATTGTTGATATGATTTATTTAATTGGATTTTGTATCAGTTACAACTGTTAAATATAATACTGAAAAGGAATCAAACAAAAAACCTTCTATTATTGAAGTGACCAATTCATTATAATCTAAATAAATATGCATTTTCTTCTGGTTTTCCATATACCTCATGTAATTGCAACTTAATTTGAGAGAAAAACGTGTTAATTAAATGATAATTGATGGTTGGATTACCATTTTAGGGGTACCACTGCATAAATAAAAACATGTAGTCTAGGTTAATATCTTAAATTGGAAAAGTTAACTTACCATTTACAGGTAGCGAGGTTTAAGTTATTTTTAAAATGTCTAGAACAATAAACTGTAAATTTTGTGACATCTTTCACAGATGCCGTCCTTTTTACAGTTTTTTGGGCAATATACAGGGTGGTCGAACTGTATTCCGGAAACTTCGGCAGCATATTCTGCAGATAAAAAGTAAGTAAAAAAGTTCGTATAAATGTATGTTATTAAATGCTTAGTTTCGGAGATACAGGGTGTAGAAATTTCATTTTATTTCGATTTTTCAAATAATTTCTGAAGTAACGTCAATATTTGGATGAAAATTGGTATCTGAAGTTTTTTGTCATGATAAATTTGATTCTGATGTCAATATGACCCCTACTTGTAGGGGGCGCCACCTACATATTTTAACTGGTTTGAAAGAGTAATAACTTTTCGTCCGTACCTGTATAAAACTACTGAGTAAAAAACGACGTTTTTACGTAAAAAACTATCTCTTTGTACAAATCGCTACGCTCGAGATATTTGACATAAATTAAGCTTTATGTTGACTAAATAGTTATTATACTGAAACCATAAATTTGAAATGTTTTGTGCCAAAAAGTTCAGCAGAAACTGTTTGATCATCATTTTTCACAGAAAATATATGATTAATTTAAAAAATAAAAATTTCAAAATTTATTATTTCAGTAAAATGACTATCTACTCAACGCGTGTTTATTTTCCGTCAATAATGACATAGGCGCCGGAAGAATGAAATTTTAGGGGGGGGGGCAAGGTAAAAATGAATAAAAAATTGACATTT